TTAAGTAAATAAATTTAATTAAATAATTAATAAATTATGTAAAAATTGAATTTAATTTTTTCAATATAAATTATTATAAAAATATATATTTATTCCACTTAATTTAGAATATATATATATATATATATATTGGTCTATTGTTATCCTTTTAGGCTCCCCTGCATAGCGCTAGGCGTGCACGTGGGCAACCGATTGGTTGCCTGACAATCACACCAAAATTGGGTTTGCGGTGCAAGCACAAACGGCCTTCAGGCCCAAGTGGTGGTTTCAAGCCTCAACCGTTTCTAAGCAATACAGTGTTTGTTTCCAAACCCAAGAATCAAACAACCAAATATTAAACCCAAAAACCCACATTATTTTTTAAGAAAATATAAAACATATTGCATATGCATTCAACACAAACCCTAATTTGAGAAATTTTGTTCATTCATCACTATAATCTTCTTTCGTTGGCAAGGTATCACTGCAGGTAAAATCCCTAATTTTTTCTCTATTTTTTCTCCTCATGCATTGTACTGTATTTTGAAAGCGAATCAATGTTTTGATTTCTTCTTGAAATTGAACTCAGAAGACAATGTGCATTTCGTTATATTTCTTTGCTCTCCCCAAACAAATTCCTTTCCCTCTGCTTTAACCATTCGTCGTCGGCAAATCTTCTTTTCTTCTCTAGTCATCATCATCATATTCTATGGTCTTAGAACCATCAAATCTCATCCAAGCTTTCACCTTCCCCCTCATCTTCGATTTCTCCTTCCATTTTCAATTTTTCCTTTCATCTTTAATCTTTGATTCATGGTCACCGAAAGAGGCCAGAGGTGAGTGAATGTCAAAAACAGTGAGGATGTGCCCAAATCTGTAGATCGATGATGGTGGTGGTGACGATAATGCTATCACCATTCCCCTCATCTTTGATTTCTCCTTCCATTTTCGATTTTCCTTGTCATCTTCGATCTTTGATTCATGGCACCAGAGGAGGCCAGAGGTAAAACAGTGAGGATGTGCCAGTGCCCAGATCTGCAAATTGGTCATGAGCAAAAGAGTCAACTTGTCATCAACATGCATTGGTGATGATAATGCTATTAATTTTTTTTATTTATTTTATAAAATAAATCTGGTGTTAAGTCTATTGACAGTATTGAGGTCATGATAAACTTTTTTTGATGAGCCATGTGTTGCAGGAAATATAACAAAATTGAACAACTTTGATGTCTTTTTTTTGGACTTATGAAATGTGATGGTTTATTAACTTTGTCACTTTGGATATTTGGACCAAATATCCAAATCATAAAATTAAAGAAAATGGATCACAAGATTTGTTGGATATTTGGGTTAGGCCACAAATCGAAAGGCCCAATCACAAAAAAAAAAAAAGAAGAAGAAAAAAAGAAGTACCTAAGGGCTTAAGGTTAGAATTGGTTAAAATCGAGATCAATGTCAATCGAATCGATTAATTTAATGATCGAACCAAATAACCAAAATATTATTTGGTTTGATTTTTGATTATGATTTTATAAAATAATTAACTAATTAAAACCGTTCGATTTCAATCAAACCGAACCGATACCCACCCCTACCCCTACCCCTGCAACTCTGCTTACGATTCGTTTTCGACAGTTTTTCATAACGGCTGAGGATTGGACAAATCCAATCATGAGATGTCATCTTTATCCTTTCTAAACTAAATAATTGAACTGAGAATGTGCAAGTGGTGTAAGCTTCATTCTCGTAAAAGGAGTTTTCATGCCTTGATTTAGAAGAGTAAGGTTTCACCCCATCTTAGTATTCAAAAAAAAAATGAATAAATAAATAATTTATCTAATTTATATTTTAAAAATATATATTAAATATATATTGTCTGTTATAAATTTATATTAAAAAAATATAAATTAATTTTTAATTTATTAATTATTTAATTAAAT